CCCCAACTCTAAGGTGAGTTCTCAGTTTCTTCGGTGTGTTCTGCTTCTTTCCTTTCTATTGTTCTTCCCCAGTCAGTTTCCAACTGTTTGGACTATGTGATTTCTTCAGCAACTACCTTTACCCGCATGAACTCAACTACTGCCCAACATTTCCAAAATTAAATTTATCATCTTCTTCCCCAAACTGCTTTTCTATCTCATTTTTTACACCTTGGTAAACTGCATCACTACCTACCCAATTGCCTAAGTTAAAAACACAAGATTCTTCCTGAGTACCTTTCTTTTTTCCTCCACTAATTGTTCTCCAAGTGTCAAACAATAATCCCCACTTCTACTCTCCATTTCACACACATGCATTTAATTAAAGTGCTATTGAGTCCACAATTCATAAATCCATCTTTTTGTATCAGGAATCAAACTAAGGACCTCACACTTGCCAAGCAGGTGCTATACTGCTGAGCTAAATTCCCAGCCCCATAAATTCATCTTGAATTATCCTATCCTCCCTTAGGTTACCGTCTGAGTTCCAGAATCATCTCCCCTAATTTCCTGCAGTTACCACCTAATTTTCTCTCCCTCTTCTATCCCTTTTTGTCCACCTTCTCCACAGCTGCCTAAAATGTAGTTACAAAACCTACTGATTGTTACATCACATCCCATCTTAAAATTGCTGGCAGCACTTTGCAGTCTACCTCATAGATTTCAAACACTACATTTCAGAAATGAATTCAGTTTTGGCTAATTTCTTTTTGTTGTTGTTGTTTTGTTTTGTTTTTGTTTGTTTTGCTTTTGGTGCTGGGGATTGAACTTACGACCTCACATTTGCCAATCAGGCACTTATACTGCTGAGCTAAACCCCCCACCCCAGTTTTGGTAAATTTCAATGAATATATACCACACTGCTACAAAATAATTTCAAGAATGATTTTTACAGATAAGAAGACATTTCAATCCCTACTGGCCCTAAAATTCTAAAAAATACAGTAAAGTTAAATCAACATTTGACATCTTAACAATACATAAGACAGTTCTCAAATTTGAGCATATTATATATTTCTTTAAAAAGTTAGACCATTTGTGACCTAAGCACTTCACCAGCCTGTGGTGAGTCACCAGTACTTTCAAGTCTCAAGTACTTTACCAGTAGGGAAAAATACCACCTACTTTGAAGATTATTGAGACAATTAAATAAAGCATATAAGAGGTGCCAAGGTACATGGCTGATATTCACTAATTATTTTCCTTTTTCCCATGGAAACAATGTTAAACATATATGCTGGTTAAGCAGTTTTCAGATCAACTAAAGAAAATACTATTTAACTCGCACATACTTAGCTCCAAAGCCAAGTGAACTCAGTCTGCATTCAGTGCTATTTATGGTTCTGGGCACTGTGCTAACTCTAACTGGGAGAGAACAGGCTTGCTTCCCACCCTCATGGAGAGTGGGTTTAGTCAAAGTAACTATCAAGATGCATGGCGTGAAGTTAGGAGATGGCAGGCTCCAGCTACCTAAAAAGGGTACTCTCAAGCATGGGTCAGAAAATAGACATGGAAAAGCTTCCCTCCCTCCACATGTATCAGTCCTACTTTTGGAGTATTGCTTTAAATAGTCCGGGGCAGAGGATCTGGAAGCGGGGATTTGTGCGGGATTTGAAGGCAGGGGGCTCTAGAAGGACAGAAAAGAAAACAGAAACTTGTAAGCAAGACCAATTTTAGAAAAATCCTGAATGCCACATCTGCAGGGCAGCTGAGACAGAGAGAAGGACCTGGAGCCACACTTTCCCTCCTTTCCTTGGGTCATCCCTGAACTGCTGTGGCAGCCTAGTTTGGCAAGGGAAGCAGGGGGTGAAATTCAAAAACCATAAAGAGAGACGCAAAGAGAAGAGGGAAAAGAGAAACAACCCCCCCCCCCAAGCAATGAGTAGGGGAAGGAAATTCCTGTGGGCAAACTGTAAATGAGGCCATATTAAGTTCTTTCCTTCATGACGCTTTTTCTTCTTTATGACACAAACTGCCTTATTACCAAAATTCTGCAATGGGCTCTTAATTCTGTGCAGCTTCAGACTTAACTTCCTTAGAATAATTCTATAAAGCATTGCAGGGCTTACATTCCTAAAACACACTCTAATCTTAAAATTCCAACACTAAAGAAAGGACTTCAAATTACCTTCCAGGTCGAGTTTATACTTCAGTTTCATAAATAAATCCTTGAATGCACTTCTGGTGGAAATGTCAATTGCCAGTGATATGTAAAGACTGCAGAAGGCAGAAGGTGAATCAGTGAAGGAGAAACACATGAATACATGAATTAGGGAAGAATTTAGCAAATGAAACTTTCCAAGGTGCATTGTTCAGATTCAATTAGAGTGATGCGTTCAGATTCAATTAGAGTAATGCAATATCTTGATTCATGAAAGAAGTGGATCTCCTGGGCTTTGAAGGAACCACAGGACTTCAAATGATAGATAAGCAAGAAGTTAATATTGTCAAATGTGGGAATAAAAAGAACAAATATGCATGATGTGCTCAAAGTATATGATGTGACCAAGAAAAAAGCCAGCATGTGTAGCTGAGTCACCTCTCTATCCTATGACACCGCATGTATGCAATCCACTTGGTATTCTGTATGGCCTTGAGCAAGGAGCATGACCGTTCCACACTTCAATTTTCACTTCTATAAAATAGGGATAACAGTAACGGTGCTGACAACCTAGGGTTGCTATGAAGATTAATTAAGATAATGTCCTGAGAAGTCTGGTTGGTATATGGTAGGCACTTAATAAATGTTAGCTATGATGGTATTGTAGCAGGCTAGTCATAAGGAGCATCAGTGCCCTTCAATAAGACCGTAAGTGCCACCAGAGGCTTTGGAGCAAAGAAATTACTGAGTCTAGCCAGACATCAGGCCAAGCTAAACTTGTGTAGAATGCACAAACAACCGTATTTGCAGTGTTCACATTGATAGGGAAAGGATCTGAATTAAGGTAGCAACAGCTGAACGACAGGAATAACATCAAGAGAGATTCTGGAGGAAGAAATGCAAGGACATTATCACCAAAAATACAAGGCAGTAGATAAAAACATCAAAAGAACACTATTTTACCAAGTATCAAGACATCTACATGTTCCACCCCATTTTCTATTCTCCTGCTCTCTGAATACCTAGAGCAGTGATGGAAAATCTTTTAGAGCTTTCAATGATAACAAATAGCCTACTGCAGCACACATGACACAGGTTCACCACAACTGACCCAAAGTTTGGACAAGTGCTACCCAACGTCGTTTACATATTGCTCATCTGCTGTGTTATACGTTCTCTGTCTCTCTCTGTGTCTGACTGTCTGTCTGTCTGTCTGTCTGTCTCTCTCTCTGTCTCTCTCTCTCTCTGTGTATAGTAAGTATCCTATACTCACTATACAGAAATGGACACTGCCAGCCTCAAAGATAGTTAAGTTACCAGACAATAGCTCTAATGGTTAAATGAGGCCTAATTTTCCCTGGTATAATACCATTTCAAGTTTGGTCACAAACAAGCATAAATCCATTAATGATAAAACCTGAAACATTAAGTTGTTAATTCAGGCTCTGCTAAACTACAGTAGCCTGTACTGTCTTCTCCTTACCCCACAGACATAGCTTATCCACAGCCCCCCTAAGTGTAATCTTATCCCTAGCACACAAGGCATTAACAATTGTTTAGTTGAATTTGCTCTTTGAAAAGTCCATAAAATTAAACAAAAACATCTTACCTCTGTTTTTATTATTTATCCACTGTTAATTTCTATTTCCCAAGTACAGGTTTTTGTTCTCCTCCACTGAAACTTATAATGCTAATTATAACTTTCTAATTTTTTAAAAGTGTAACAAAATAACCACAAATGATTTTGGCAAACTGAAGAAATTGTTTCTAGGTATATGTTAGTAACTATGCATAGGAACAACTAAAAAAATTCACATGTTAAAAACAATTATCAGTAAATGATGGAATAACCAGAGATTTTTATTCATTATGCTTTCTTACACTTGCTAATTACCTCAGGCATATACTGGTAGTACCTCATAATCAAAGGAAGGTTAAACAAAAAGTTTACGCTAAAATTTTAAGCCTTCTTACACAAAAATCTCATAATACTAAATAAATATGCTACACCAAACTATTTCACATATAGTTACTTCATTCAAACAATTTATCTCAAGTTAAATACAGTATGTGATCTTTTGCGTCGGAAAACAAATACACTCTCCAAAGAATTTGAGGCCAACTCCAAGAATCACAACCTCTTTCACACTAAGATGGTTTTTCATTCAAATTGCTTAACAGGGATTTTTCTTAAAAAAAAAAAAAAAAAAAAAAAGAAGGGTTTTCTGTTTATTAGAAAAAAACTTTCAGTATGTTTTATATATAGTCAAAAGAATATTTATTACCTAGTAATTCTACTAAAAGTCATCTGTTAGAATTTTAAATAGGAAAAATTACAAAAATCACACTTCGTCACATGGTATATTTTAAGACTCTAAATGTTAAGGATTCAGAAATATCATATTGTAATTAAGCCTAAATAGTTCCATTAAGAGATACGGTGCAATTCAAAATTCTGGTCATTATAAACTATAAATGAGAATCAATGTCACTGAAAGTTTAGATGATAGGGAATGAAATGCTGAAGGTTAAGATGGTAGGGAATGAGACACTATGTCCCACAGACTAGCTCTTATCACGTGCATCAGTGTCTCATTGTGACTAACTTCCTAGGAGGAGACTTTGATTAGCCACATAAAATTGAATCTGCATTAACACTTTCCAAGTGACTTCTACCTCTGCTGAAATAGTATTTACCAAGCAAACCCTGAGAAAACTAATCCTTCAAGATTCTACAGAATGCATGGTAATTATCCAGATCTACACACTCAGAATTGGAAGTAGGAGCTTCCTTCAAGATCTATTTTAAAAACTGCTTAGGTGAGTGAACCACCATGATAAAGAGCCTTCCTGAACTCACCTGGGGACTTGAGATCTCTCTCTGTGATGAGCTTCTGCCTTCCTCAGGTTCAGACATTAAACTCAGGCCAGATGTCAAGGACAGCGTGTTGTTAGGAGCAGCAGCCAGGTCTTGGGAGAGAGATGAGAAGGAGGGTGTAGGAGAGGGCAACCTCACTGCACCTTCTCCTGCAATTGCCTCTCTCTCGCTGGACAAGCTGGAAACAAGCTGGCTGGTGTCGGGCTTTAGGGCAGAGGGGCCATCTGAACTGTTCTCACTTGCCGTCACACCTTCACCATCTCCGTTATATTTCCAACCAGCATCCATCTAAGTAAGAAACATCACTGTGTGATACATTGTTTTTTTTTAAATGTACTCATTAATAATTTTATTTAGTTATTTACTTGTTTATACTGCAGGGCTGAGGATCAAACTCTGGGCTTTCATGCATACGAGGAAAGTGTTCTACACTGAGTTACACCCTCAGCCCCACTTCTCAATATTTTAAAATAAAAACAATAATTTTCATTCTGGATCTGAGTTAAGTAAGTCACATTCTGAAAGGCAAATGTGGTGTGCTCTCCCTAATATGTGGGATCTAAAGAAGATGACAAATAGAAAAGAGATTATTAGACAACAGGAAAGGAACAAGAGAGAGGGGATCTGTAAGGGGGGCAAAGAGAAAACAGATATGATCAAAATATATTATTCAAATTGAAACCCCTTCCCCAAAAATGGGGTGTGGTTAAGGGTGGAAATGATCAGAGTGTGCTATATGTATGTATTATCAATCTTCCAAATTTGACCCACTAATCTGTATAACAAATAAAAAGTAAAAATGATCCTATTAAAAACAATACATATCACCTAGAGTAAAGAAACTACTGTTAAAAGCACAGAATATATTCTTTCACAGCAATAAATACAAACTAACAGAGCGGGAAGAATAGATGTACTAACAAAAGTTTCATTAGGTTAAAACTTTTGAAACTTGTTTTGCCATTTTTATCACTCCAGGTGAATCAATAAACAGAACTCTAAATTACTCCTTTTAATTACTGATTATCCCATAGTGTGCCTATCAATACTTTATTTAGCACTATTTAAATTTTTCTGTCATCTCCAAATATACTTAACAAATTCTAAGTATATCTTTCTAATAGGAACTTTCATTTATACAGCCCCAATTCCAGAAGATCTGCTAGAAACTTTAATTTTATATTTTTTTCTTAAAAATAACTGCAGTTATACATTCTTAAAGAAATACATAAGGACTACTGTTTTTCTGCATTCTCACCAATGCTAGACATTTTCAGTGTTTTAAGTTTTTGTCAGTCTGATGGATGAACGTTGTATGCCTCATTCTTGCTCTAATGAGGCTAAACATGCCTCTGTGTCTGTTATCAGCCATTTAAATTTCCTTTCCCTTAAATTGGACATTTTCTATATTCATTTTTCTACAGCCATATTTCCCTCACCAACTTGTAGAAAAATTTTATAGCTTAGAGCTATTAACCCTTTATCTGTAATACATTTTGCTAAAATTTGTCTTGAGTCTATCAATTGCCTTGACTCTAAATTTAATTTGTATGTTGTCAAATGTGTCTATAATTCCCAATGTAGTAGTTGGTGGGTTCCTGGCTACTTTAGCAAGATTCCCTCATCTCAAATACTCTAATTTTTCAATTCATAATTTTCCTCTTATTGATCTTCAAACTATTTTGCTTCTTTTATATAATTCAGATTATTAAGTTATGTTTTATATTGCTGTAATATTGTATATCCTTCAAAATCTCAATATAGATTAAATATATATTTTAATAAGATACTTTAATAATTATATTTAAACATATCAAGTTTTGAAGTGGGCGTTTAAAGAAGAAATTTATATATAAGCCCCTGAAAATATTTAAGACATGAAACTGCTGTTTCGTAGATCAAAAAGAGCTGACTACTGGCAATTTCATATTGTTCAAGCTAATACTTTGCAAAAGTTATATTTGAAAAATATAATACTAAAAAATGCTCTGCCTTAGATCACATCTTATTCATCCTTTACAATATATCAGCCCTACTTTCACTGAATTTAATCACTCCTGTACATTACTATTACTATGCACTAAATTTCTATTGGCTCTAAACTGACATGAAAGTGCTTTGTATATGTTATACATACTCAGGTACACAAAAACAACTTTCCACCCTCTGAAACAGACTATGTCAGTGGGGATGATTTTTACCGTATAGCTTCTGGGGAGTGGTGAGATTCCCCTTGACTGAGTGCCAAAAGGTCTCGGTGTGACCACAGATGTTAACCTGGCTGTATCAGTTTTCTGGTAACTTCTGGGGAGAGAAGCTGAAATTTGAGTCGGCTCCGTTCGTGCACTCAGTGAATGCTGAGACGACAAAGAGGCTGGCTGTTGTTCTTCTGTGAGGCTTTTAGGAGGAAGCTGAATTTCAGCTGCTACATTGTCCTGTCTTTTTCTAAGGATTGTAGACTCTTTAGGAATTTCAGCGGGGTAAACTGTTCCCTTCTCTTCCACTCTCTCACTCTGGTAAGTGGCTTCTGACAGAGTCAGGGTAGCAGGTAGCTCTCCATCATTCAATATATCATCAGAAGAGTACACTCTCCTCCTAGATGTAATGGTAGGCATTGGGTCTCGGGATTCCCTTAGTGGAAAGAAGCACACCATCACCACAAAGTTATGCTTTTGACACCAAAAGTAGAAAGACAGTAATTAGCACCTAAATATTAAAGAATAAAGACTATTGACAACACAATATAAATAACACTACAGAATGTGATCATATACACTTTAAATAAGAAAGCTTGTTAGAACTAGATTTTTTTATTAAAGACATTCTCAAGTACTTTGCTGGATTTTTTTTAATGCAGAGAAAGATCTTACTAATAAAATGAAGAAATTTTAATAAGATTATTTACAAAATTTTACCCACAAGTTTGAGTCTTATGAAATAAAAATGCCATATATAAAAGACTAACCAAAAGTTTCAACCAATTTGAAACTTCTAAAGATATAGATTCCTTTGATAGTATTATGAGTTTTTTCCCTACATAAAATTTACAATATACTAGTAAAACAAAAGAAGCACAAAAGACTTAGGCTTTTATGATGATCCAGTCAACATACGGCATACCAACATATGTTGGTACAACTTCCATGCACAGGTACTACAAACTACAAAAATCACTCTATTTTCCAAGCTGACAGTATACCTCATCTAACATTTAATAAGGGTAAGGAGAACCTACTTCTCAGGCTGTGTTACAGGTAAGTGAATGAAACTCCTTTTATCACTGGCTTTTCAAACACAAGAAGTTTTGTTTAATTTTATGTGACAGCATATTTCCTTTTTGACATTGTTCTTAAAGCATATTTACCTTCTCCCTGACCTATAAATAACCTAAGATTTTACACGGTAACTGCTTTAAATTTCACCTTTATCTTTCTATACTGCGATACAAGGAATAAATAATCCCAGAAATTTCTATTTAATACAGAATAATTTCCTTTAAAAGACAATTTATGTTCCACCACTAACTTACAAAAACAATTGGTATATTTCATACAATTTAGTTAAAAGGGAGAGGTGCCTTTATTTCCTCATTTCATTCCTAAATTCATTTTAAAAATAAGTATCTTTTTGTACCAAATACAACCCTTCCACTTTTGTGTGTAAATATGTAATGTGAAACAAAGACATACTACCTGTGTTAAGCACTCATTTATTGATCCAAATCACTATTTTAATAGTATTTTTTTTTCCACGGTAGAGCAAAATTCTGGATGTTTAGGCATATCTGTTAAAGTTTAAACTTGGTTACTCCCCACTGCACCACACTAACCAAAACCTCCATTTCTGACTCTGGGCTCTTCCATATGAGATGCATTCAGCCTCATACCTGTCCTGCAGCATTTCCTTAAATGTCTTGGAGCGTCTCTCAGACTTCTCGAGTGCCTGCTTTTCATTTTCTTCCCTCTCTTCTTTTCTCTTCTGCAGGTCTGAAGTGTAACTTCTCCGGCGATCTTTCCATTTTGCAAGATCCTGACAGAAAATCACATCAGGGCGGTCATACCTGAATTCCTACACACCCTTTCTAACAGCAAGAGTGCACCAGAATATCCTGTTACATGGCTGAAACTATTCACTCCCACTTGCGCCAAGGTGCCCTAATTTTGCTTTTTATAGCCAGCAAGTTTCTGTACCAAGCCTTTATCTCATGTGTCTGTCTCAAAAGCCTGACCTAATAAGACAGATCCCAGTTTTGTTTGCAGAGGTGTTGCCTTGTTGCTTGTTTCACAAAGAATGCTAAATGCTTGTAATTAGGTGCTAGATTAGACTGATCAGAAATTGTGTCAAATTCAGTTTCATATCTCTCCAAAAGCCTGGCTGTTACATGAAAGGACATGTTTACTAGTAAGAAGAAAACAGAGATGTTACAGTAACAGTTAGGGTCAGATGCATATTCAGTGGCATTTAACAAACAGAAGCTCAATCACTATTAACACACAGATGAGTAAGGTTAAGACATGGTTCCCTCAAGGAACTCTTAGTTTGCAAGGGAGAGACAAAAGATTATTTAGAAAAGCAAGCATCGTACAGTCAGGGGAGAGTTTGCAAAGGAGCAAATTCCCACTGAGGAGCTGAGACTGGAATATGTAATTTCAAAAAGGGTAAACTATTCCTAGGTTAAGGCGATATGGAAAACCATGCGTAGCAACTCAGCACCAGTTTCCCATAACCCCTAAAGTTTTAGGTGTGACTTTGATGGCTAACCCAGGATTATCAGCCTGTTTCAGATTTTTCAATTAGCCCTAGCAATCCTGGTTATTCTGACACCCAAGGGATTAAGACATTTTGAAAAGTACAGACTTTTCTATGTCTCCGAAACAGAAAAGCCATGCTAAGGAGACCAAAAGGCATTCCAGTTCAAACAGGAGTACATTTGAGGTCTCAGACTAAAGAGAACCTCACCCTCACGGCATGCAAAGTAAGTTTCGGAGCAGACAGGGCCACTGCTGCTTTTCAAACAGCCTGAAATCAATATGAACTATTTTCAGAAAGAACAAAAGCAATGTGGGATTTAGTTCTTGAAGACACGTGGTGTGAATTTTCACCTGACTTAACCTAATGGATAACCCCCTCAATATTCAGTATTTTCATATCAAAAATTTAACATGGATTTTGACAAGTGGCTCTGAGTTACTTACTGATTCTAAACAAAATGAATTCTCAATAAAAGAAGCATCTAAATTTACTAATATACCAAGCCAGAGGTTTCAACTTCATTGCATATAGATTAACTTCTTTGAATATTAAGATTTACTGTCCATGAACTTTTTGTTCATGCCACAACTCGATTCTCTTACCACAAAACTCCACTCAAATTTTGGAAGGTTGCTATGTATAACTTAAAATAATTCTCCAGAGTCCTTCAGTTTATAACAATTATTTTTAAAAGGTTAAACTTCCTTCCTTAGGCTCAAAACTAAAGATGAAGCCTATATCCATACATGCATCTGAATACATCAGCTCTGTGGAAACATCTATTTGCAATTCATATTCAATCATGCTTCTTGAGGTAAACACTCTGGATTTTATTTCTTCATAATTGCCTCAGTTAACTTCAAGAACCCTTTTCATCTCAGCCTACCAATGCCAAGATCCATGGTAGACTGCTGCGTGTCTACAATCCTACATTTTAAACAAGGTCTTTTTCTATCAAAAGCATAATATGCAATATACCAATTCAGCTACCAAAGCAAGTAAGCAATGAAGCATTACTATTCTTCAGTGAAGCTCACACTTTTTGAAACCTCAGTGAATATTAGAAGATAAATTTTCTTTTATATTTTTCACAATGATCTTTAAAATGTGCACTTGTAATAGTTCAAAGAGGTTTAAAACTGTTTGCTTGCATTTTCTACAGAATATCAACTGTCTCAGGAGTATAGTGACTTGAAGAGAGGAACAAGGCAAAGTCCAACTAATATATTCTCCCTTTATACAATTAGAGAATACTCACATCTTGCCATTTCTGATCTTGTTCTTTTAACTGGGTTTTTATTTTCTGCATCTCCTCATAACGCAGTTGACGCAAGTGCTGAACATCTTCTGGGCTGACATCACTCACGGACTTACTCCTACAGCAAGAAAACCACGATCACCAAGATTCGCATCATCAGTCTGAACGACAAAAGGAACGTTGGGCTTATATTTGGAAATTCCACCTAAATTTCTGATGTGCTGCCTAGACACTCTACTGATAGTGTCACAGAACCAGCACTACAGAGATAAATGGTGTTTTTCCAAAACGCAGAAACAAGAGCCTACTACTCAAGTTGGGTGTAAATGTTTTCCCAAAATGGCCAAACTAACTATGGATGAGTAAAAAAAAAAAAAAAAATCTAATATTCAGATTTAGAGACATCAATGCATAAAATTTTTCTTTAGGGAAAAAATGTATTAGTAGTTATTAGAAATATCTCTCTTTATTTTCTATGTCTCCTAAAGGTAAGCTATTAAAGTTTGGCTGCCCTTTCTGGGCACTTACTGAATAATTCAGTGATTACCTGATATTTTCTCCTCAAGTTCAATACCATGAATAGATGCAATGCTGCTTTTCAAAGATTCTATAAGATCCACCCCTGCCACTGTACTCCACTTGTTCTCAAAGGACACAAGCAGTTTTCAACAGCCTGTTGGAACCATCTGGTTGCACTCCCTTTGCAGCTTCCCTCAGGAGGGGAGGTTTAACAACCACCCCCCAGTACTGGGGCTTGAAGCAAAGGCCTTCACTCTAAGCTATATTTCTCAGCCCTTTTCATTTCTATTCTTTGAGATGAGAGCTTACGAAATCACCTAATTGCCTGGGTTGTGCTTGAACTTAAAATGCTCCTTCCACAGCCTCCCAGAGCAATGGCATTGCTGGATTGCACCAGACAAGAAACAAGAACAGAGTGGGCTGATGGACACAGGCAATGACTGCAGACTGTACACACACAAGAAGGGTGGGTAAACATGGCTGAGAAGGAGATTAAGGGTGCCCTACTCCCCACCGCTGGAAGGAAGGTGTCAAGGCTGAATATGAAGATGAGGTAGGGATGAAAAAATGTTTAAAGGTGAGGTGCTCCACATGTTCCCTCTTATAGATCCATTCTATTGCACATCCTAACTGATTGTATTCTTAGTTAAGTAACTTACCTTATCTTCCACACAATTCTGTTGTCACATTTCCTTCATAAAATACTCAATCTTGGTTAGTTTAGGAATTCAATTACAACTTCCTTGGGAAGGACTCCCAAGTCTACAGATCTGCCCCTCCTTCCACTCATTTCCTGCTCAGTGAATGAACATTTCTGCCTGGATATTCCCTAGGCACCTCAAGCGTAAAAGGATCACTTGAAATAATATCTAGAAAGGATTTTGTAACACCTGGTTGTGATGTAGTTAAACTAAGTCTTGTTCCCAATCTGCTGTTCTTATGTTTAATGGCCCTTCCCCCAATCATTCATATTTGAAACCTGAAAAGGATTTTTCACTTTTGTTTCTCCTTTTTCTTCACTTTCAATTAGTTATCAAGTCTTCTCATACAGTGTCTTTTTCTTTCCATCTCTATTGCCAGCAGCCTAGATCAGAGCACAGAAAGACCTCACCTCAACTTCCGAATAAGCAGCTTAACGTATCACCCAAAGAAGGTCTTGCCTCAAATGCTCCCTCTAACTCAGTCATCCTTCCCAGTACATTGAGTCCATGGCCTTTGCATGGAGTTACAGCCTGAGCATTTAAAAAAAACTGAAGCAGGGTCTAAGTTGTTCAGGCTGGATGGGTCAAACTTGCAATCCTTGTGGCTCAGCCTCCCAAAGTGCTGGGTTTACATGCATGCACCAATATGTCTAGCTATATATGCTTTTTAAAGTACTTCTCAGAGTCCTTGTTAGACTCAGATGGTTACATACAGTAATTTTGCATTACTCAGTTTCTACTTGGAAGCCTATCAGGGATCTCAATGTAACTGTCAGACTTATAATATTTCTCACCCTATAAGCTGCTCATCTCCTGTCTCCACCATCTCAGTAAAACTCAGTCTGTCTTCTCACATTTTAGGTCAGAATTTTTGGAGTCATTCCAGATCCCTGTCTTTCTCTCATATATTTAGAGGGTAAGAGTATACAATCATATTTCACCTTCTCCACTGTTACCATCCTAATCCAAGCCATCACATTTCCCACTCAGAGGATAATCTCCCTGCTTCCATCCTTCCTGAAGGCAGTGTTACACAGCACCCAAAGAGATCTTTCCAAGTTACAACCTCTCAGCACCCATCAGCTCCCTCCCATCTCGCTCAAGTTTTAACTTGCTTTTAAGCAAGTTCTTCCAACACCTGCAAAGTCTAGAGTTATCTAGTCTTTGCTGTCTCTCTACACTCACCTCCACCATGCTGCTCCTAACTCACTCTCCTGCTGCCAAGCGGCTTCCTTGGTCCCAGACGGACCTCTTTCACGTCTACCGGCCCAGCATGTTGTCCACCAAATATCCAGCTGGTTCTCTCTCACTTCTGCTTAAGCATTACTCAGCATTTCCTTCCCTAATCACCCTCAGAGACATAGAAGATGCCCTTTACCCCAGCTCACCTAACCCTGTTTCCTCCACAGCATTTACTGTCTGTCATCTAAGAAGTCATGGATCTACTACATGTCGCCTGCTTCACTCAGTATGCTGGATTACAAAGCAAGAACTGTGTCTGCTTCACTTTCATTAGCCAAACAAGGGCCAGCCCAGGGTTAGTGATTCCTATCTAGATAATATTCAACGACATGGATAAACTCTTTCCTGCTCTTCCCTATTAAAAGTGGCCTGTACCCTTTCTCAATTGCTACAATATGTTAGCTATATTTCTTTCACGTTATTTAACACCAGCCTTCATGTTCTATGGGGTGTGCTATGTGATTTTCATGATTAGCTTATCTCCCTCACAAGCCATGTGTTCCTTGAAAGAAAAACACATTAATACAGTACACAGCATGGAGGATTTAGACTCATTTAATCTGTGCCAAGAATGAGGTTAACTTAAGCAAAATACACTAAATTTGAAACATTTTTTAATCCCATGAGGGGACATTAATGCCCCCACAAGTCTTATAAAATTATAAAAGTTTTATTAGGATTAAGGATTAACAGCATAATATATGAGTGCACATATGAAAATATATAAGTTTTCCAACACAATGTGTATTAAGTATAAAAATAATTCGTGTGATTTTGAGCATGTAAATGCACTGGAGTCACAACTAAAAAGAATGCAGGTATTGGCGTTAATGCAACAATAGATTCACTGAAAAGAGCAGGAAAACACGTTCAGAACTAAGGTGTGAGGGGAAGCTGGACACCCAACACATGGGGTTACACAGCCCCAGAACAAAAGTGGAAATACTAATTTGTACTTTAATAAATCTTTTTAGGGAAAGGCTGGGTGTATACACTGACCCAGAACCTGTTTTCATTCTCTCTCTTACTCCTGTGGAGTGAAGCATTAACACACATCACAGTGTGCTCCCTTAGGGTAAGTATGGCACCTGTCTGGTGCTGTACACAATTCTTACTAAAGCAAAAACGATTGTGTGGGTTCTCCTGAAAGCTAACTCTTCAACTCGCTTCAAATTTAGGCGTTAACTGCATTGCTGGTGCACTCCTATCATCCCAACACTCTGCGAGGCTGAAGCAGGAAGATCATAAATTCAAGCTAAGCCTAGGCAATTTAGTCAGATAATGCCTCAAAACTTTTTTAAAAATGAAAAAGGCCTAGTGATATACTTCAGTGCTGAAATCCTGGATTCAATCCCCAGTCATGAGAAAAAAAATAAGGGAGTTATCCCAGACTACACATAAAATCTGGACTTTCTAGAATCTCGAAGTCAAATCATGAAGAATTCTTTCCTCCCTCATCAGCATGAGGACCACCGTATTAAATCTGTGAGGGTTCACTGTGTGCGCACAGCACTGCCAAGGAGTCTCTGTGGGTCATCTCATGAAACAAATCCCTAATCCAACTCTACCACTCACAACTCAACATCCATGGAAAAACTGCAATCACTGTTGCTCTTTCTCCATGTCTCTGAAATGCAGATAATACCTGTCTCTTTACACTACAAACTGAAATAAGCACCAGAGATAGCACCAGTAAAATTGTTCCAGAAAACTTGATGGAGTACACATGTCTGGTGTGTTGTGTTAAATGAAGTGCTGTCACTGGTAGGTCACATGATAATTCTCTTAAAATTCATCCACCTGGTAGAATTGTATTTCCTTATCTGGAAAGACTCCAGTTGACAACTACATTTGGATTTTTGCTGAAAAAGAATTACAGATGTAACATTCTACCTTTAAATTGAACAGAATGCTAGCACTTTTGGGAAGACAAGAAGAAGAGCAAATTTAATGAAAAAATAATCATAAAATATGATCAAAGTAAGATGCTCTTCTTGTACTATTCAGATTGCCTATAATATTCCTGACTTTCAGAGTTTTCTTATATTTTTTTATCTTTTTAATGTGTTTTGGCTAATGTTAAGTCTTATTATCTTAGACAACCCATTTTCAGACTTATAGGTGAATATCTAAAAAATAAGAGGTAAAAAGAACCCAAATAAGACAAATTTTCCTAACTATTACCTGATAGCCTTACACAGCAAATACAAATTCCAAGGTACAAAGTGAAGGGTCTCAGCCTTGAGGAGACATGCATGTGCTTTTCAATGTACCTCTATGTGATTTTCATTAGATATTTAAAAATTCTGTGAAGAGTAATCAGCCTGTTTGAAAGGCTTCAGAACTACCATAACCATAAAACAACATAATGGGTGGTTTTTCTTTTACAAATTTATTATCTAAAGCATGGGTTCTCAATAGCAACACTAGTGAAACACTTCTGTTTTAGGGCAGTATGTGTATACTGTGGGACATTTCGCAACACTAAATGTGAGTAGCACAAACACACCTGAATGTGACAACAAAAAGTGCCTCCAGCATTACCAAGTGTTTCCTGGCATGAAAAAAATCTACATAAGGTAAAACACATCAACTTGTTCTCTCTTTTTGCTGTGTTATGACTTGATAAGTCTACAGACTTTTTGGCCCAAACTCTGTAAGTGTTCATAGTTGAATCTGATTATAACTTTGCCTTTAATCAGTGTTTGTTTCTTGTTCATAATGCAGATTGAATTAATTACATTACATGATTATTTCTGCATATCCTTACAGCACATTTTTATGTCATACATTTTATGTCATTACAGCTTACACCAAACAACATAATCAAATTTTCAAATTTCATAGAACCATATAGAAATAAATTCATGAAGCACAAAAGCACACATAAACAACAGCCACATACAAAGCATCTTACTACAAATAAACTGACATGTTCTATATGACAAAGAAGCAGTAAGCCACCAATTGGACATGTGGCTCAGTACTAGAGCACATGCTTAGCAGGCACAAAGCCCTGGGTTCAATCCCCAGCACAGACACATGAAAGTCAGAACTTACAGATTAAGAACTTAAAAGATAATTGCACATTTCTCTTTAAAGTGCTCCTTACTCAAAAAAAGCATTTATATTATAGAAGATTATTTTTCAATTACAGGATTTTGAGTAATAATTCATTTTCAAATAAGTATACCAAGTTTGACTATATGTAATATGTTCAGAGAAGGATCACCAAATATAAACATGGAATGGGTTGTGAGTTAAAACCCTATATGTAATCTAATTTTAATTTGTATTTTATTTTCATTGCACATCAGCTTAAGGAAAGCACTGGTAACTGATAGGATATGGGGTGGGTTCAGCTGATCTAAAAAACACCAGAGTTTTCTAAAGAAACATTACTTTCCATTATTAGACAAGTTATGCATTATTCATCAGTCTCAATTTACAGGTTATCTTGCTTTATTTGTATAGCTATCTTGGTACAAAACCACATGGGGAACAACATTTAAAACAAATACAGTACTACCCTATTCAAAAATAACTATCTTGGAATTGTCTACAGAAAGCATTTGCTGCTGCTAGGTATAGCTCAGGAAACTATAGCTTTTTGAGCTTTGGTATTTAGGTGTCTCGCCTCTCTCCGGCTCTCCTTCCTGCTCTCCTTCTCCCTCTTTTCTCTCTCTCTCTCTCTCCCCCACTTTTCTCTCCTGTTCCCCCACTCTTTCTCTCAGATTGAACCCAAGGACTTCATAGTCATGAGCTACATGAGGTGAAAGGTGGGGATAGGGTCCTGCTAAACTGGACAAGTTGGGCTTGAATTCACAAGCCTCCTGCCATAGCCTCCAAGATTATGTTGCACCACCACACCTGGCTGGTTCCTCTCTTCTTAACTCAGTCACATAATATTCCCTTAACTAAGGAGGAACATGTACAGTCAGTAAGATGGTTACATATGTATGCATTACAATTAAGTACTTATACTTTGGGCACTTATATCCTTGAAGGGAAAACAACTATTTTCTGATACCTGCTTATTTTATGAAATCATATTTAATTTGCAAATGCCAAACCTTTCCGAAAGTTATTTAAAATGACTGAGGTTGCAAAAAGAAGGGCAGAAGCAGTACTAGGGAGTGAACCCAAGGTCTTATGCATGTGAGGCAAACACTCTATCACTGAGTTACATTTTTAATCCTGCAAAGAGATTTTCATCAAGTTTAAACAGCTTTTCCATGATAAAATGAAAATGGCAGATGCTTAAGTGTTATGCTGCAGACTGCCTTCTTCACCTTCACAGATGAAAACATTTTAAGTGTATGAGGTTCTGGGCAGAAGATAACATGCCTTAACATGACACACTGAAAATGTGCTGGGAGACATTTTTAAAAATCTGTAGTTGAGAAGTACTCCTAGTAAGTTGTGGCCCAGTTACATTTTTGACATCTAGAATGGTTCTGACTCTTGCATTAAGCAGTAATTTTGTCATCTTCCAAAATTTGTGAACTACTGAAATTATCAAAAGCCACCAACTTATATATCATTAGAGAAAAGGTAAATCCTAGAGAAAATACTTAACTACCCAGGTTGAGGCAGATTAAATTTTAAAGCCTTGAATTCTTTTCCTCTTATTCAAAAACTATTTGCTGTAAGATTCACAAAACCTCAGCAAGTTTGGTTGAAACTATTAGGAACCAGCTACCTGGTTATTCTGTACTAAGGATGAATGATTTTTTAACTATTATAGAAATTAGAAAAACTTCCTGAAGACTTTCATATTATGTTATGTCTACCTTATGACAATTAAACATTAGTAAACTAAAAATTAATGAGTGATACAGTACTTGCAACACTATTACAAACTACAAAGATGCTATTTTTACAGTTTAGAAAATCTAGTTTTGCTCTATACAATGCTATAACTTTTTACGCTAATCTAGAACCTTGAGAATGTTTCCAAATATCTCTAGTGAAAGACTGATTTCATTCACCATCCCTACTAACATAGCTCCCTAGGAGCTGACTATGTGAATTCTACCAACTGCAGGCATTCTAACCTGAAGTAAATTGCTATATCTTTTTCTACTACAATATGTTTCAGCAGTCAGAAATTATAAACTTAGTCAAGTTAGCCATCAAATATCAAATAAATACAATTTTAGTTATTCTTAACTCATTACATTTTTTTAAAAAGTGATAGAACTTTTATATAACAGAAATTTAATAAAACAGAAAGTGTTTTATATAGTACTTCATGCACTGTACACACAAACGTACAAATATTACCATTAGGTTGCAATGTTAATACTTCTCATTTTAAAATTTCATGCATAAGCAAAGCGTCCCCACTTAGCGGCATGCCAAGATAGAAATGCAATGACAAATTACATAAAAGCCAAGAATGAAGCGCAGAATTTTTTTTGCTGTGAATCACGAAACTTACCCATTCTCACCATAAATCTTTTGAAAGAGTCTAAGAAATCAGAAAATCAAAAATTTTAAAAGTTATGTTTTCCAGTTGTGTTAGTTTCTAATTGTTTGGTGTCTTTTATTTGACACCATCCTAATTGAGGATGGACAAATCTAACAAGATTGCTTCTTCAGCTGCAATATTATATTCCAAGCTCTCATCTATCTTATTCTTGGAGAAACTCAGATTAAGCAAAATGAAAGCTTTCTCAATTTATTGAACCAAGAAATCTATAAGAAAAAGTTTCCCATTGTCAGGGGAATTAAAAGATTAGATTTAGGTTCCACTAATTTTATTCATCCTAATCAGATTTGTCCATCTCAAAATTCAATAAACTGAGCATTCTTCAAAAAGGCAAATTGCAAAACATTCATTATTACCAAAATGCCCACAAGTGCATACATGTAAAATTCAGCAGACAGTAAATAACATTCATGCATTTTAATAAAATTTGTAGTACACTTTATAAATGAAAATGTTACAAGTTGGTAGTTCAAGAAACCTTGGTCAAAAACAGAAGTCAAGTTAAATGAAATTTGCAATGCCATATTTTAAGGGATATTTGTATCTCAAAAAATCAGACAACCCAAAATATGAGAAAAACATATAAAATCAAACTACCACTAGACTATTACAGAAATGTTTGAACATAAGAATAAAAGTCTGTAAATATAGTTGAAAAACTTTTATGAAACTTTATATTGCAGAATAGTACCACAGACTTAAAGCCAAAGATTTGTGTATATATATATATTTATATATATATATGTATTTATATATATATCTTCTCAAATAGGCTTAAAAGATGTGCAAATATGGAATTGCACTGTTTTTATGAAATGATTGAAAGTTTCTCAAAGCAAAATAAAACTTTTACAGGATGCTTCAACATAGCACACGACATGCAGGGTTGAGCAACGTGACTCCACTTTTTGGCACACTGAAAGTTACACAAGACTGTCCTTCACAAGCCAAACTCTCGCAGAAACACACTCTGACCTCTCAACCATTAGTCTCTTCTTATGCCGAAGCCGGCTGGCCTCGCGGATGGCCTCCCACTTCCGTAAATCAGCCTCACTGCAGGGGCCAGGAGTAAAGGTAATGGGAGGCACAGTAGTACCTAGTTTCCAAGACTGGATCTTACGAGTCAGCATGTCATCTTTCTTCCGCTGATAGGAGGGAACTAATATTCTACAGCTATTACTTTTTTCTTTGGATGGGCACGTTCTTTCAAGTACACAGAGAAATTTGGCTTGGATTTCTGGAGGCAGAGTCCAGGGATCAGGGAAAGGGACTGGCTGGTATCTATCTGGCGCCCCAGAGAGAGGCACTTCTTTTTTCTGTGCTGGAATTCGGCGGACGATCATATCATCTTTTTCTAAATCTGGTAGAACAAGTTCACCTTCTCTACATTGCAAAATTATATCTCGCTCTACAGGATCTTCTTGCTCAGAGAATCTTCTAAAGTCTTCAAAAGCTCGAAGAACACATGGATTTGCATGGAAAGCCCCAGTTTTTCTGACAAAGAAATCATCATTTTCTAAATCAGGATCTAGAGTTGGCATCTCAAGGTCATCTGTTCTATTGCTTGGTGCATGAGAGAGATTTTTTCTGCATGTTATGAGCCTTGGGCCAGAAGTAGGGTCAATTTTGATATTTGTTTCAGAAGACAAGATGTCATCCGAGTATGTTTGGAGCGCCTGAAGTAATAAAAATTGACTGGGGCAGAGAGAAGAGAAAGGAAGGGAAAATCGTAGTAAGTCTGAGAAGAAAAGGTAATTATTAGCCAGTCATTGCAGGTAGATTATTTTAGAGTCACAGCAGAGACACTTGCAAGACAGACAGACTATCATTAAATGTCATGATCTATGACTTTCCTAAGCATCACTTACAGAAACAAGGCCAAAATATATTTCCCCAGAAAGGTGGGCAGTACTGAGAGCAAGGGACAGGCCAGCGCTTGCATCAAGTATACCTCTCTCACAAGCATACTTGTGCCATTTCCTAGTGTCCACCTTCTCATTCCCTTGGCCTCAAGGATCACATCCCCTGACTAGAGAGAAGCAATGATCTTAGAAAGTGTTAACAGGTGGCTGTTAAGTACTTTATGCCACAGGTACATATAATGCACAAAAAAACCTAAACTGTTAAGCTTTGTAAGACTAAGGAATGCTTTGCATTCTCCCAGCTGACTCACCCTTCCAGTCTCTACCTAAAAGTTATTTCCTTTATCCACATCTCTATACACAGCACAACTGTAACAATTTGGTAGTCTTTCTAAAAAACCTTTTTTGGAATAGCTTTCCAAAAGAACTATATAACATGTCAATAAATATACATTTTCTTGCATATTAATGTGCTAACAGAACATTGAATTTTACAGACTTCTAGGCTCACGTGCTCACACAACAGGTTACACATTATGCTTTTGTACTGATCTATAAAATATGTTTCCATGTTGCAGCACAGTGCAATTCCAGGTTAATATAGTAGCAACAGCAGGCAGATTAGATGCCTCAGGCCAGACCCCAAGCAGGTGGGCTCGTGCGGACAGGTGCACCTGGGCTCATCTGAGGCACCACCAATTCTCCTGGATGCGTGAGTGTCCTGTGACCTGATGGCCCGTTTGGCAGCTAGTTCCAGCAAGGGTGAAGGTCTTTGGCAGTTGCTGTCTATCCTACTCTCTGTTTTCTGCAGTCTATTAAAAAGGGTGGAGCTTCTGTCAGAGCCTGAGTCCTCATCCTCAGAGTCTGAATTCCTTCTACATGAAGTGACGAGGAGAAGAGGAGGAAGGAAAGAGGGAGAAAAAGAATTGGAGAGGAATAAAACTACTGGAATTAATGCTGAGCTATGACTACATACAGAAGAGTGTTTTAAGATCCAAATACTGAAGTTTAAGCAAATTTTATTCAGTTATTATCTATAATATTTAATGGGAAATTAGCCTTTCCCTAAGTCAAAAACAAACACAGAGCACTAGCTTAGGGTGCGGAATAAACACTGGAAGAACAGAAACATGCACAGAGACAAACCTGAATCCCTGAAATTCTTTATACCATGGCTTATAAGTTTCTCTTTTTATTCTTTTCCAGTTCACATCTTCTGGAGTCCAGCATTTGGGAAGAAACTGATCAAAAGAACTCCCTGGGTTTGGTATAATTGGGCTTAGCTTTCGCACATAAAGATCATCCTTTACAATGTTGGGTATGCCTGCTGGCTTTTCTTCTTCCTCTTCCAAATAACAAGAAGAGTTTGGACTTCCTTGAACTGTTGACCAGTTCTGTATCATGGTGCCCCAAGTCCTCCTTTGGTTACTGTTCAAAACATTCAACCAAGTAAGACATTGTGTGAACTATTTGTGACACAGAACACAAAAAAGGCATGCATTCTGCCTCACAACGCTTACGCCACTGTGAATGAGAAGATGAACTCCCCTTCCCATCACCACAGCTCCTGGAATAAAGTTAAGGCATTACAGCAGCATCTCATTTTAGTTAAGAGAATGGCTACGTGCACACAGCTGATTCTAATTAAACAACACTTACTTGGAAACTGTATTAAAAGAAAGACAAATTGCAAACGGTTTGGAGTGTTACTTTCTGAATTAAATCATCAGCATGACAGACATCCAGACCCAAGACAAATATATTTCTAACCTCGTCAGTGTGCATAGCCAAGTGGCTAATTTATCAGGAGAAAATATTTGCAGACAAGAGTTGGGAGAGGTGGTTTTAGAGATGAAGCTCTCAGGCCTCGTTTTCACTTGGAATCTGCGGTTGGCTAGGTCATCCTTCATTTGTCCTCACCAGCTGAATCACTTTCAGAATCACACACCTCCTTATAGGAAGTTGGGTTTGAAAAGTCATACTCTGCTCTGCTAATTTGATGGAAATTAAAGGATTCTTGTCATATTCATTAAGACCAACAAAAAAGGAAAAAGAAGGGAATAAAATATGGCAGAGCTCAAATGAACACTATCACTCGTCCAGTAAGCTGAAAATATCAATAACCAGAAGGCATACATCTAAAAAAGACCTAGGCACAAACAGTGTGCTGACATTCTAAAAGAAAATAAATATCTTCAAGATACGTATGATTAAAGCACAAGAAAGGGAGGAAAATTTCATCAATGAAACTTATTATCTAATATATTTTAAGAGCCAATCTTTTTACCACATTTAAATATCTTGTCAAATTCACAAAGCATACAGGACTCCAAAATCATATCACAACTTCATACCTTGAAAATGTCCCATCTGTATCCGTATAGATTGGGCTTGCCCAGCTTCTTCGGTTATTCTCATTTTTATCTGGCTTCTTCTTCCTCAAGGGTGCTGGCATATAGGCGGGCTGTCTATTTTTGTTGGGTAAAAAACGATTGAATGGTAAAGCAGACTTTGGTTCGATGACTGAAGTTCTTCTATAGGACATATCATCTTTGTTATAATCCTGCATTTTCAAAGTAAATTCCAAATCTGTGTCACTTTCACAACCTACAAAGAAAGAATAAACATTTGCTTTACTCTCCAGATTATTCTCCTAACTGAAACCCCTTAGTGTGTCTGCTTTGTCTTTCCCTGGCAAACCCTGGGCTGCTACTGAGAACTGCAGGGAATATTTTTAGAAATTTGTCATGAAGTTGTGATAAGATCCATTAGGAGGAACTTGCTTTGCATACTGGAGGCACATGCAGTGCATTCCTCTACTGTCACATTCTAAGCAGAAAAAAAAAAAAGCGTTCCACTGCTGAACCCTTTTTGCTTCCAGGCCTCTTTGCCTCCAGGATTTTTTATACAATTTGTTGACATAATACATGTAAATACAATCCATTGATCAAGCCACAGACGCTTAAAATCAGTTACAAAAGGAACTCTAGGGAAACTAATTTAAAATAAAGCATGCAGCTATTACATGAGACGGGGCTGGGGATTTAGCTCAGTGGCATAAGCGCCTGCCTTGCAAGCAGGCAGTTGTGAGTTCGATCCCCTGTACCGATAAGGAAAAAGACAAAAAAAAAAAAAAATTAACATGAGACAAAAAAAAAAAAATCACATGAGACAGATAAAGACATAGAAAGACAAGCAAAACTGCAGAAGACTGCAAGAGTCTGGTAGTTCTTCATGAGAGCCTATAAACAATCCCACATCAGATATAAGGTTAGGCTGGGTATTTCTGAAGTTTCATAAGAATTTCAAGTCATGCCTACATGACAGCACAAGAGAAATTATATTGGGAACACTGTGTTTTGATTCAAAATCATTTTTTTAAAAACAGTTCAAAAGAATACCCTTTGATACATTTCAAGGTCAGATAGTTACAAGTAGTAATTAAAGTATACTTTTTTTAATTAAAGTACACTCTTAAAAAGAAAATCCATTCTTTTTAAAGACACAGGAAGGACAGAAGGGAGAAAATAACACTATAGATGAAACTAAGTAACCTCATTCCTGCCCTTTTTCTCTTGCCTCCCCGCACATTTGTAAAGGCAGCAAGTAAGGCTGCCTCCCCAGGGCCTCCCAGAGGCTGAGTCTGCACAGAGCACAGTTGACCCTGAGCTCTGAGCTCCTGCGGGGCCAACCGGATCTCTAGGCAGCCCAGGCTCCTCCCTCCTTCCTGGCAGGAATCTACAGGAAATAACTCTGAAAATCAGAGTCCACAGGAAGTAGTCTGACACACACCTGTGACACAAGGACAGTAAGAGAAGAGTCACAGCAAAACTAAACTGAGAAGACAGCGATGGCTAGGAGGATGAGGACTCAATAATCCAGTGCTTTTTACCACCGTCTCAATAAAAGACTTTCTTTCTTTCTTCTAAAATGATCCTAGTCAAAATGTACCTGTGAAATATTAAAAATCGTAAGTATTCTACTTGTGAATTTTTAAAGTTAAAATCTCTTTTACCATAGTAATCTGTAGAGTTTTTATGTGCCTAAATCTCCATCTTGATATAAATTTTCACAGAAAACTTGGAAAATTTTGTAATTCTTTTACCCCCAAAATATTACCCTAAATCAATAATAACTGATGAAAAGTGTTAGAATTTTAATCAACTACTCACAGAAATATTTTATCATCCTAATATCCTCTCCTGCTCCTCTTCTCAAAGTTTTATTGGAGACCAGGAAGCACTGTGACCTGAGTCTTCTGCTTTTGAGTATACACACCCTACACCCTGCCCAGGTGACTGAGGAGGGGACCAGTGACCTGCCACATCTACACAGATTGAAGTCTGCATTTGCTCACAAGCCTTCAGTCTTTCTACTTTAATCTTGTTGGCCAGATTAAAATTTAAACATCGCATGTAGAATTTTCAATCTGGAAAAAGTAATATAGTGAGCTAAGAATTTCAGCTTTTGCATTTACAACATTAATCACTCAGATGAATTATAAACTCAGATTTATTTCCTTAAAGACACAGTAATCATCATTCAGGCTATGAAAATGTCACACCTAAATAGTAAACAGCTAACACATGCAACAGAGTTTATAAAGATTAATGCTTAAATAGCTATTGACTTTTTAAAAATTCTAATACTCTAAAATTTAAAATTTTTTTTCATATAGAGGATCAAACCCAGGGCTTTTGCACTAAGGTATATCCCAGATCTTTTTGTATTTTGAGACAGTGTCTTGCTAAATCACTGCTTTGCTTGAGCATGGCTTAAACATGGAATCCTCCCCAAGAAGGCTGAGATTACAAGCATGTGCCGCCATACCTAGTGAAGAATTTAGTTTTTATTACCATGGTAAATTTTGAAAAACAATTCATGATATATAGTTTGCTTATGCTTGAAATTTTTCATAATAAACATCTACAGAAACAATTTACAAATACAAACCAATATGCATAATACACAAGCAAAGTGAAATCTCTAAGCACAAATTCACAAAGAGAACTCTCAATGCTTCATGATGATAACTGTAGAAGTACAGAATTATTTTAAGATTTTGTTTTGGCTTGGTGCTAGGTTTGGAAGCCAGGGCCTCACCTATTCTAGGCAGGTGCTCCAATCACTGAGCTATACCCCCAGCATTTCAAGAAATTTTAATTATTATTTCAATTTAGACTAGCTAGAGATTTATTCAAAAATTGCCAATACTACCTAGCAGCTACTGGAGTAACATGTGTCCTTAAATAGGTGACTTGACCATTTTCTGGGTTAAAAGAAGGTTCCCTTGCAAAGCATTTGCCTTAGTAAATTCTCTTCAGATTTTCTGTGCCCTGGGTTAGCTCTGACTCCGACATGACCAACATACTTCCTACCACCCATCTAGGCAGCATACTACCCAATCTATCAAAATTTAGAGGCAATTATAAAAAATATTTCTTTTTATCTCATGACTTTTTTAAATCTTTGAGGAAAAAAGCAAGAGAAGAAAGAAAATTACTCATGAATAAGAATGGTTACTTTTACAGAATCTTACTCATACTCATTTCTATGTTTAGATTATCACTAATAAATCAAGTCACAGTGAACTGTTTCCTCACCAGTCCTGTCCAAAACTGGAATCTACCCCCTTTATGAAAAAGGAAAAAATTATGAAATGCCTAATTACACTTAAATCTTTAATCTTCATCTTGGTGAAATTTTTGCCTAATTTTCATTCATTTTTCCTCTTTCTCTTGCTCTCAATTTTCTTTTATTACGTTAACAAAAATAAACAGTCAAAACTGCAACTCACCTTCGAGTCCTCCTCTCAATGTGATATCGGAGCAGTAGCTGGTCAGTGACCTAGACCCCAAGGAATCCAAGCTTTCAAAGGAATCTTCCCTCTTATGGCTGCCTGGAGGAACAGGAAATTCTCCCCGGCCAGGACACCAGAGTGTACTGTAACCACTGTCCTGGCCACCTCTGTTTAAGCAGCCAGCATCTTCAAGTGCCTACAGAAAACATTTTATAAATAACAGTAAGTTAGTATGCACTGCCAAAAATGTAAACATCATGATTCATTTGATAGGTAAGGCAATGAAATTTCCCTGTTGGATATTTTTAAAAAGCAGATAAAAGTCAGAAAATACATCTCCAATTCTTTTCCCACCACTAATACAATAGAGATATTCGATATGGTTTAGTAAAGTGGTATGCTCTATTTAACAAGCAATATGAAAGAGCCTAATAAATTAATTTAAATAATATTGAAATGCTAAATTAGTGATTACTTACAGTTCTCTGGCAAAAAAACATGAAGGAGTCAAAGGACAGTCAAAGAAAATGAAACCAATCTTAATTAAGATATCCTACTGGAGATAATTTATCTGTCTCCAAGAAATAGTATGGTTTATGTTAAACATAAAACATAAAGTTCTTTAAACCTATGTATTACACCCTTAAAAAAAGCCCACTGGGCAAACATATTACAAAATTCATTTGTTTTTATTAATTATAAAACCAAGATTCATGATGCTAGCAGGTCTGTTATCTTTCCAATTGAATCAAGGGAAGCATACTTGTTTACAGATACATAAAACCTATCTTCTTTGGATATGAATAAAATATTTTCCTTGACTTATATAAGATAAACAGAAGAATGAAAAATGCTGTACATATACAGAACTTACACAAAGAATTTTTAATGAACACCCCTCAAAGAAGTTCAATGGCAAAATATAAATGATATATGTGGAATTTTTAAAATTTGAGTTTTAGTAAAACTTGAAACATCCTTAGCATAACCCTGACACATAGTACTAAATAAATACCAGGAACTGTAGTTTTTAACATGGTAATAGTAACATTGTCACCTAAAGTCAAAAACCATTAATATTAATTACAGATTATATTACTAACACAGAGATAGTCTGAAGAACCTAGGAGTTACTAATAACCAAATATAAGAACTTAATAAATTACGATTCAGATTTAAAAAAAAAAAGAGCTATGCAAAGTAGCTGGGAGATAATTAGGAATTTTAACATGTCCTGGGAAATATGTAACAGGACTATATATCAATTTTTTAAATATGAACTTGGGCTTTACAGAAGCATATTTTTACTCTTAGGAGATACATACTGAGTTTAGGGGTAAGATATGGTATCCGGAATTTACTTAAAATGGTTAAGCAAAAGTGAAGACAGATGAGAGATGCATAAAGCCAATATGGGAAATTTTAATAATTGAGTCAGATGATGATTATTTGTATATATGTTGTATTATTTTTCAACTTTTAACTACACATAGTCAACATGAAAAAGATGGAAACTGAGTGACAGCTGTCTCAGGTTTACAGGGGACTCACGACAGATCTGTTACTTCATAGTTCAATTGTCTGACAAATGTTCAAAGCTCAAATAAGGTCTGGCAGATTTACATGAGATTTCATGTCTTTTACATGCCAGATATCCTGGCAGTAAGAGTTAACATCTTGTCATGAAAATACCTCATACCCTGCTATTTTCAAACAGATGAGGAAGCTAGGCCTAGTGCTGCTAGCAACTAAATATTCCTCAAATACTAAGAATATTTCAATTTTCTAAGTAAATCTTCAAATGCTTCAAGTTTCTTAAGCACATACTTACTGATGCCCTAGAGTTAACATACACCAAAATGATTCTTCATATCATATACATAAAGTACATTAAAGTTACATTACATAAAGTAATGCACATTACATATACATAAAGTTACATTAAAGTAAAGGGACCTCAGTTATAAAATAATGTGGAGGCTGGCCTTGGAGCCTTGCTTTAGAGGACTGAAGAGTCCCCTAAAATAACTCACCAGCAACTAATAAAAATGACTCTAGCACAACAGTTTATGCCAAGTATTTTTTAATTACAATTTTGGATTGATGCAAAGTATTATCTACTTAGGACAGTACAATTAACACAGTAATTCTGACTTTTATAGAACTGATGCAAGACAGATGATACATTCAGATGCTTCTCATGGTCATTCCCAATTAGGAATAATGGAATAACAGACCAAATGTAGTTCTATCTAGCAAAAATTCCTTTTACTCTCTCTGACATTGACACTGGTGACAGGAAATGGCCTGTAATGAGACATTCCTAGCAAAACCACTATATTAAGATTGTTCAACCTGAGTCAGACTGTCATAAAAGAAGTTCCAAAGGCTATAAAGGATACTAGTACATGAACCAAAGTCTTACTCGGTTTTCGACTGAATGTTTTCTTAGCTAAAACAACTGTAAAGCAAGGCTCTCTCCCAGTGGCCAAAGCCTCCAGCAGTTCACCCTTCAGAGTCCACACCCTCTCATAGCAGTGGCCAGCAGATATGCTGGTCTGCCTCACACAACCTTACTTTAAGGTTCAGTCATTTGCAATGAATGTTAACCCAATATCTAGTATAATATATATGCATGGTAGTATCTCAAACAATACCTGAATTAACCGATCAAAGGCATCACTATGAAGAGGTATCAACTCTTTACAATTCAAAACAAAAGTAAAGGAATACCTGAACCACTTAGGTTCTATACTCCTTTTCTGTAAGTGTACAGCTGGCCTCAGACACAGTAAATCTTGTAGGTAAAGAGGCAGATGTAGGGCAAGGTGATTATATTCCCACAGGCCTAAAACTTTTCATCCTCCAATCACAACTGACATTTACTGTATCCTTACAATGTGCCAGAGACTAATGCTAAATGCCTCACAGGTGTGGCACTGTTTAATAGTCAAAAAACCTATAAAACAAATAATGTTAATTAGATGGTGCTTCACTACTTGAATATGTATTTTCTTCTAAGGATTGAAAATTCCCCTGGATAATATTCCCTTGGAGAAATTATTTTTCCCACTTGGGTCTTATTAATGAACATTTGGCAGAACTATAATCAGTCTTGGCACTCAGCTCTCCCTAAGCAGTCCACAAACATTCAAAAGCTGCCACACTCAATGTAAGACAGGAAGGAATAGAAATATGTTGTAAAACCAAGGATTCTAACTTAAAAACTGTACCAAGTTTCACTCAGCATTCTATTCTTTAGGAAACAAAGGCAGTATGGTTATATTGGAATGGAATCATTAGAGTTAATTACTTTGGGTAAGAACACGTTACTATAAAGAAATTGAGTAACATTCACAAATTTTAATAGTCCTAAAAATGCCTTTCTACTGCAATTGGGCTCATTATGAACATAGAAATAGTTAAGCTGTGCAGCCTCTAAGAAAAGCAGATGTGTATAATATCAAATTATCTAAAATTAGGAGATAAATACCGAGATTTTAAAAAGTGCTCTGGAATTGATTCACTTCTTAGAAGTAGCACATGAAGCAGCAAACACAAAACCATCCTGTCTGCTCAGCGCAGTCAGGGTGGAGCTAAACAATCAAAACCATGTACTTGTTAGGGAGGAGGAGGAGGTGAAAGAGACAGTATTAGTTACAGTAGCTCTCTCATGCAGATACAGTTTTCTTACCTTAGTCAGAGTTTGTCCTAAAAAATTCTCAAATGCTTTCAAATTAAGATAGGGACCATTATAGTAAGGGTTACTTTGTGCTTTTCTTCCCAGCCAGTACAATGTTATCAAAACCTTAAAAAAAAAAATCATGAACAACAATATCAGTCTAATGACCAACCAACTACAAGTACAAAAGCAGGTAAGTGCTACAGATAAATGATAGACCACATTACTTTATGGTAGAAATACAAATTTTTAAGTTAATGGCAACAAGAAGTGCCATTAAAAATCTGAATTATTCCTCCTACATTTTCTTGCTCAGAACAAGTTCTCTGAGCAAAAGGTATTTGTGTACTCTACTAGCACATATAAAGAAGGCAACACATTGTAAGAGGAAAAACATGAGTAAAATTTTAAGTCTATCAATATTTTTAAAATAAAACTATAGAACATATACCTAAAATAATCCTCAGCATTTTCAGTGAGAATGTTAAGCTTTTCAAAAAATAAAGCTGTCCCTTTCAGACATTCTTTTCTATATGTAGGCTACTAAAGACAGTATATGAGTTTACAATGAAAAATTACCTAGAGTCCTTAAATATTCAGTGCTCTTCCTTAAAATCTAATTTGAGGGTTCCTATTTGTTCCCCTAAAGACCCTAAAATGAGTCTGCCCTTATATTAGTAACATAACAACCAGCTTCCTAAATTTAACTACAACGTCATAGAATATATGATCCAACCGTGTGTTTTAACAAATATACGTAAATATGTTTAGAGTTTGTGACTGGTTATTTTCTAGGTGAAATCTGATTTTAAAAATATAGCGCATATTTTTTGATCTACTTTCCAACCAAATATGAAAGTAAAACTATAATGTTCAATTAAAGTAAATATATCTTACATTTTTCACTCTTCTATCAGTCTCTTCTTGCCTATAAAGAAAAAGAAAATAGTAGGTAATATCCATGAACTTTAAATTACTAATTGTAAGATTAAAATCATTTTTATTCTAAAGTTCTGCAAATATTAACATCACTTGGAAATCCAGAAATCTTAAGGCACATATTTCCCATCAGAAGAATTTGTCCATATTCGTTTGTTTGGTTAAATATAATGGTCCACATTTCAAAAGAAGTAATTTTTCTCTCCTTTTATCCATTATAATTTGATTTTTAAAACATGTTATTGCTAGCTTTATATTCTCATTTTAAACAATGCTTAAACCTGGGTGATGGGAAGAGAAAGGAAACAAGAAAAAAATCCTGAAAGGAAAAAAAAAAAAATAAGTGGTTGTGCACAAGAGAGTTTCTCCACTGTCTACAAGGTTTGTCATCCAAATTACCCAGAGCAAACTGCTCAGAGACCATGACTCCGCAGATGTTGAAAAGTATAGTTTAGAAAGTAACTGTGAACCTCAGCCCAGAGAAACTCGCTCTGTTACAAGACTCACGGGCGTTCCGGCCACGTACAAAAGCACACGACTTTTACAGCAAAGATGAAGGGAGGCGGATGCCAACTCGATGTGGAAGAGACAACAGTACGTTACAAAATAAAGACATACGTTGTCCTACAAGAACGTGCTCATCATTAGACATGCACACTGATGTCATTCATAACGGAGATGCATAAAACACATCACAGAGACAGTTCACTTTCATTTATACAAAAAGCCAAAGAAAAAGCAGTAGTATGAGTGCCAGAGGCCAGTATTTTTGCTTTTTGTGTTTTTTTGTTTTTGTTTTTGTTTGAGACAGCATCTCACTATGTAATTCAAGCTGACCTTGAGCTCACCAAGTAGCCCACAATGGCCTGGAATTTAAGAAAATCCTCCTGCCCCGGCCTCTCCAGTCCTGTGATTATACACCTGTGCCCCCACACCCAACCAGAGGCCAATATTTCACAAAGCTTCCAAAGAATCCACAAAGCAACTATGACTATTCTTTTTAGCAGAAAAACATGAGCTAAAATAAATTTTAAAATATGTACCTCCCACTCACCCCCCCCAAAAAAAACCTAGCATCTGAACAATAAAATCCACAAACTTTTACACTACCGGTGGAAATATAAATTGGTCCAGCTATTTATACTCTTATCCTATCTATTTAAACTAAATATATCAATATTTTATGACCTAGTCCATTCCTAGGTATATGTTCAACAACAATGTTCCTTTGTATCAATATCAACATTCATGTACGAGAAGGTATATGGCAGTATTATACATAACAGCTAAAACTGAAAGATATTCACATGTCTATCAGGCACAAGAATTACAGATTGTCTACACAATGAAATATTACATGGAAATAAGAATGAAAAGCTACATCTACATCTATCCATATCGCTCTACCCACAAACAATAAGAAGGAAAAAAAGCCACAATGAACAAATGTTTAACACTACTGACCATTCAAAAAATAAAAAATAAAACAACACTGAAATTCTATCTCACTTTAGGTAGAATGGCTACCATCAAGAAGTCAGTCAATAACAAATGGTAGTGAGGCTGTGGGAAAAAAGAATCCTTTACCGTGCATGGGAGTGTTATAGAAAACAGTTAGAAATTCCATTTGATCCAGCTATTCTCCTTTTAGGAATCTTCCAAACAGAGTTATAGATATCATGCCATGGTGATGTATGTATAGCCATGTTTATAGCAGCACAATTCATAATAGCTAGGTTGGAAATAGTCTGTATGTCCATTGAAAGATGAATGGACAAAGAAAAAGTGGTATTCATGTACAACGGCGTGCTATAAAGGATAAATGAGTCATTTATAGGAAAATGAATACATCATGAGACCATAATGCTTAGTGAAGTAAATCTGACACACAAGCATAAATATCATATGATTTCTCTTATATGAGAAACTCAATATATAAATAAAGTACAAAATAAAAGATAAAAAATAGGAGTAAAAAAGCGAGAAAAAAGTTAGTGAAAACCAGCATGGACAATGTAAAGTATAGCTCAACTTAATGTAATTGTCTTATGTGTTTTATATTTTTTGGCCTGTTAGTTGGACTATTAATCTGTATGTATGATAATTAACTTTGTAAAGACTTTTAAGGTAAATAAAGCCGATGGTGGCATAAAAGGGGATGGGGGAAATAACGGAGATGTTTTATGTATATGGACCAGTTCCCCAGCATGAAAGAAATCATTACATACAATAAATGCAGACTAATAAAAGGGTTTTTTTTAATTATAAACTATAGCCTCCAAAACTATAAGCTAAAACAGAAATAATTTTTGGTTTTTGCTTTTAGTTTTTTGGTATTGGGGATTGAACTCATGACCTCGCATTTGCCAGACAGACGCTTATGCTGCTGAGCTAAATAAATCCCTGGCCCAATGAAATTGTTGTTCGTAAGAGAAAAAAGAAAACAAGCAAAGAAAAAGAAGCCAGACACAAGTGAGCACAGACTATTTGAATGGATTTACACAACGTGCAAAAATTGGCTGTGCCAGTTAATCTTAACTGTCGATCTGAATGAGTTCAGAGACTCCTAGAGCAGTGCCTGGACCTTGGGGACACTATACTCACTGGTGGATTCATCCTCTGAGGTTTGTAGCTAAATGTGCTGTTAGGAGGTGTGGCCTAGCTGGAGGAGGGCCCCTAGGGATGCGCTAATATTTTGCCCTAACAATGGAAAAGCTGACTAACTCAGACAAAAAATACTATTAGAGGTCAGCACAATGGCTACTCATGTGGGAGAAGCTGACAGAAGTCACTGCCAGAGGGTAGGGCCTCTAGGATGCTGAAAATTTGTATTTTGAACTGCAAACTGACTACGCTGAAAAATTCAGTTGTAAACATGTGGTCCCTTGTTAGATTAATGACCAGTACACACACACAACCCTGAAGTGTTAAATTATCCAAAGCACAGAACAGTACACAGTACAGTGGATGTACACCCAAGAGTTATCCCACCTTCGTCAACAGCACACTCAGAATAGAAGAAATGGAGTTTTCTTGAACTCCTAACCTCCTTTCCGCAGCCCTACGTAAAGGTTTTTGATCCAATACACTCAGCTACTTTATACTTTTTATCATGATAGAGCAATAACCGGAAATGCTAAGCTCAGCCTAGTCTATGACAGACTTTCACAACAGCAGTGACCTTGGCATTACTGTCCTTCCTTCGCTGTACATTCCCTTCTATACATGAGCACACTCATATATATAGCATGCTCTTCAACACAGCCCTCACAGGCCCGCCAAGTTAGTGTCCCATCACTGCAATGCAATGCCAGGAATTCAGGCAGTTGATGATTTGTGGGAGTAAAGAGAGTTCATTATGACACACCACAAACATTCCACTACATGAAGTCAGGAACCAGGCCCCTCCTTTCCCTAGGATGGCCACAGGGCACACTACCCTAAGACCTTTGAACTAGAACAAGTGTGAGAGTGGAGGTGAGCTCACCATGGCCAGACTCTGCCTGCTCAGTCAAGGAGTGAGGCAGCACTGTCTCAGCTGACAAATCCCCCACAGACGCGTGCTGGTGGAGCTGACGTCGTGCGACACCATGCTGCAGGAATAAGTAGTCTGGGGTCGGACCTGACTCCTAAATACTATCTTTATTTGGGGCATTTACTTGATTCTCAAAGCCTCAATTTCCTTCTAGATAAACTGGGAATGATGTCTCTCATTTCAAAACATTACGAGGAAATATACTTGCACTTGGTAGACTCCCTAAGATCGCATCACCATAAACTGAGAGCAGGGCCCTTTCAGTTTCATTCTGTGTAAGAAGTCCTCCCAGAGAAGTCATGTTGGAAACCAATATTTACACTGCAACTTTTCCTGCTTGACACTCCCTCTATCATTATCCTGTTTTTTAAAAACAAACTTCTACGATTTCTCTGCTCTACCAGAATTTCAAAAAGTTTGTGTGGTTCTGTTCACTACTCTATTTCAAGAGCTTTAAAACAGTATATGCCCCTTTGGAATGTACATAAAAATGTGTTTTAAAATGCACAGTTATGCCAGGGATATAGCTCAGTGGCATAAGCGCCTACCTGGCATCTGCAAGGTCATGAGTTCTATCTCCAGTACCAAAAAAAAAAAAAAAAAAAAAAAAAAAAAAAAAAAAAACACAGTTGTGGCACACAGATGCCCTCACACATTACAGAAATGTAAGAAAAACCTGAAATGACAGTAGCTCAGAAGATTTGTGTTGTTACTATTACTTTAGGCAAGGACTCTACCCGTGAGTTATGTTTCCTGCCCTGCCTTTTTTGTTTTTGTTTGTTTTTTGTTTTTTGGGGCTTTTTTGTTTTGACACAGGGTCTCACTAAATTGCCCAGGGTTACTTCAAACCTCGAATCCTCCATCGCAGTTTCCTGGGCAGCCAGGATCATATTCATGCTTCACTATGGCCCCAGGGTATGAAACCCTTAATAAATATTCATATGACGTCAAAGGCATTAAGTTGGATTAGCTTACTTAACATTTATCTAATTTTGATTCAAATTGTATTGATATTCATATATGTTATAAAAAAAAGAACAAAAGCAAAGGCCAGTTTGAAAACATAGAGTACAAAGCTTAAACACTAGTCGCTGATGAAAAAGATCAAAGAATCTACACCTACATCAAAACACAAATTTACCATTCAGAGAGAAAGAATAGTTCAGTAATATTTTAAAAATCACTGTCTTAAATATATTGATAGCCTTTATTCTCTGCTTAGATCATGCATTAACTTTTAAAGACTATATTTAATATTCATGAACAGCAGGAAGAGCGTATAAACTTTCTCACTGTTAATGAAATAGTTCTAATTCTTTTGCTGCCTCACAAAGGGCCAGAAGACATCTTCCCATCTCCGACCTCCAAACTTTTTGTCCATCTGTGTATTCCCCAGGTGTCTTCACCCTTATCCCCTTATCCTAACACTACTTGATTATTATTTAGATCCAGGC